AAATTTCATCTTAGTTAATTATTATATTAGATATAAAATTTGAATTTAAAAAATAAAATATTATAAAAATAAAAATATATGTACCATATTTAATATTTTTTAAAAATATAAGAGATACACATAACTGGAAAGATTTTCGTTAGTGCAGTTAACCGAAATATCTGTGAAAGCAATGAAGATCTAGACTTGAACACTTTTTTTGATCAATGACTAGAATGCCGACTTTTGGGGACCAGACGCTGGAAAAGGAGAGGAAACCTTCGACGAAGAGCCGAAGGGGAGAGACAGGAACGGAGACGATATAGGACAAGCGGGGGCAGCCGCCCCCCTAAGCCTTTGAAAATTTCCAAATATGGTACATTAATTTTGTTTTTAACAAAATTTTGTGTTTCGAATTTTTGAATTATTACTACCACTTTAAATATAAAGAAAATATTTAAGATTTAGGTAAAAGAATCATTTTTTTCTTTGTGATAAATTTTTAAAATATGGTAATTTGGTCTAGATAAGAAAAAATATTAAAAAAAATGTCAAGATCTAATCAATTATATCATTGTAATTTATATAAGTTTTTATATTAGTTATATATATTTTTTTGTATAATTTATATTCTATGAAAATAATGGTTAAATTTATTTTATTCATATAAATCATACATTTCAAATTTAAAGTTATTGATATAATAACTATTTAAAAAAGAAAAGAAAAGAAAAGTGTAAATCAGTATTGATTCTAAAAATAATTGAAGTTTCAATATTAAATTACATTGTTTTATTTAATTAAAACCCAATTCAAAATTTCAAAATTTATCTTATTAAGTACTTATATATTAGAATATATAATGAGTTTTTAAATTTAAATATCAATATTTAATAAAATAAAATTTTAGTTTCCAAATGTAAATTGAAACTCTAATTGTTTTTAAAAATCAAAATTAATATGCACTAATCTAAAAAAAGTATATTTTTATATTATTTATTTTAAAATTTTAAAATATATTATTTAAAAATAACTAAATATAGTTAATTAATTAAAAATTTTACAAGCATAACATAAATAGTACATATACAAAACTAATAATTAATATAAAAAGTAGTATAAATTATATTAATATAAATTAATAAACAAATTACGAAAATTTTTAACTTTTTACGCTTAACTTGAATTTCTGGCTACATCGATCCCTTGTGAGAGAGGAGTGTGGGGAATAGAGAATGTGGAGAGATAATACAAAGGGTGAAGTCAGAAAATTTTATTTAATCCCATCGTATCTCATTGGGATGGTGAGATTAAGGTTTATTTGATATAGTGGTTTTGGAACAGTGATTAGTGATTTTACCTAAATCGTTAAATATAAGTATTTGATAAATTTATATATTTCGAAATCGCTACAAATAAAGTATCTGATAAAATTTTTATCTAGCAATTTAAGACTAACAGATAGCGGCTAGGGTCCAAATCACTAGTGGATTGAAAAAGTTAGTTTATGTAACTTTTTGTATCAAACTGCTAGCGGATTAAAATTTTTTAATTTTATTGATAAATTCATCCATTTTAATTTTTTAATTTGTGGTCACATTTTTTAATTAATAATTATCTAATAAATTTCAATTTTATATTTTTA